TTGCAAGGGGATAGAACGAGTGCGGGGCAAGGCCGGGGGACGGCCCCGCGCGGCGCAGGGCACCGCGGAAGCCGGGAGCGAGGGGGTGTTTCTGTGCCCCCGGCGCTGCCGCAGGGCACGGAGGCCAGAGCAGCTTCACGTCCCGCTGCGGGTTCTGCTTAAGCTCTGGCCCAGCCCCAGGCAAACTTAGGTTGCTTAAGGCTGTGCATGGGGGTGTTTTTCCCTTGTGGGAAAATTATGCTCTTAGGGAAGGGGATTGCAAATGTGCTCAGGGAGCGCACACTGAGGCCTGCTGTGTCCCCTCTGGTTCCCCAGCACGGGAGTCGCTGCAGAGCCCGTCGGGGTGGGTGCCGCTGCTGCTGGCCCTGCTGCACGAGTACACGAGCAGCAGCTCCCGCTGGCGGCCTTACTTCGCGCTCTGGCCGGACTTCAGGAGCTTGGATCACCCCATGTTCTGGTAACGCAGCGGGGAGCCGCTCCACGGGGTGGGCGAAGGGGGCAGCTGAATGCAGGCTTCACCCAGGGGTGGGGGAAACAGGGCAATGCTGCTGGGAGCAGGACAGGAGGGGGTTTTACTGCTGGCTCTGCCCTCTCTAGTACTCCAGCCCTCCCAGGCACGGCCCAGGGTTGCTGCTGGCTACAGAAAGACTCGGAGAACAGGAATGAGTAGAGCTGGCAGCAGCCTCGCAGCATGGAGGGAGGAAATTACAGACCCCGGAGCAGAGAGAAACTCGCTCTTCTCTCACTCTAGGCCTGAAGAGGAGCGGAGGAGGCTCCTGCAGGGCACAGGCATCCCAGAAGCAGTAGACAAGGACCTCGTCAACATCCAGCTGGAGTACAGCTCCATCATCCTGCCCTTCATGCAGTCCCACCCCGACATCTTTGACCCCAAGGTGCACACGCTGGAGCTGTACAAGGAACTGGTGGCATTTGTCATGGCCTACAGGTGAGACAGGAGGGGGCATGGACCACAGCTCAGGCTCATGAAGGACAGAGGGTAGCTCCAGAGCCTGGGGGATGATCACAGGCTCTTACTTAGGTTCTTGCATCCTGCAGCCTTTTGGAGAAAAGCTGGGGCTTCCTCCATGCTGCAGAGGAGGGACGGGTTTGTCTTCCCCTCCCTTGCACTAGCTTTCAGGAGCCTCTGGAGGAAGAGGATGAAGATGAGAAGGGTCCCAACCCTCCCATGATGGTGCCGGTCGCAGACATCCTGAACCATGTGGCCAACCACAACGCCAACCTGGAGTACACGCCGGTTAGCGCCGGTGCCCAGGGCGCAGGCCCAGCTGCCACAGAGCAGCTCTCGCCCCGCTCGAAGCCAGGGCAGCCCGACTGCCCCGCGGGCAGCGGCGCGGGGCCGGGGGGAGGAAGCTGTTACACCTCTGCCCCTGCTCGTTGCTGGGTTTACTGGAGGTATCCGAGGCTCCCTGAAGCTGCGTGTGCTGCAGCAGTAGCCTTGAGCCTTGTTTCTCCTCTTGCTTATATGAATGCAGAAGTACTGTTAGGTTTTAGCTGCGGACACAGCTGAGGGGTGGCACGTGCCCAAATCATTGGCAGCCCCAAGAAGCAGCCAGCCTCCTCCTCCTCCTCCAGCAACTGGCAGGATCGTGACCCCCTTTCCCGATCTTCTTCCCTCTCTGCTTGCAGAAGTGTTTGCGGATGGTCACTACCAAACCCATCAGCAAAGGACAAGAGATCTTCAACACGTATGGCCAGCTGGCCAACTGGCAGCTCCTGCACATGTACGGCTTTGCAGAGCCCTACCCTGGCAACACCAACGACACGGCCGACATCCAGATGGTGACAGTGCGCAGAGCGGCACTGCGGCGTGAGTGGCACTTGTCACCGCTCCGGGAAAGGATGTTCAAGAGTGGTTTAATGAAACAGGGCTCAAGGGGGAAGGGGAAAGGAGATCCTCCCATAGCATCTAGGATGCTTCATCCCAGGGTAGGGGCAGAGCTGGGCAGGGTTCACAAATGTGCTCCTGTCTTCAAAACAGGTGCCAAGAGTGAAGCAGAGCAGAAACTGGTGTCAGAGCAGTGGGACTTCCTGTGCCAGCTGGAAATGGTTGGGGAGGAAGGTGCCTTTGTGCTCGGCTGGGATGAGGTGCTGACAGAGGAGGAGCTGTCCGTGACACTGAAGGTGAGCAGTGCCGAGCCGTTAAAGAGCCACAGGACAGGAATAACCCTGCTCTGCTACAAAACCCTTAGCTGAGGGAGACCAGCACATAAAGGCAGTCTGGGAGCAGCTGTCCTGCATGAGAAGGGAGAGGGGACTGTCCAGCCCCCCAGGGCTTCAGGTACTGCATTACTCTTCCTGAACTAGCCAGCCACCCACGCTAATGTGCTGGTCTCGAATGGCTTCAGGGCTACTGCCATTCTGGAGTTTTTGTAACTTTAGAGGTAGCAGAGGCTGTTCCCAACACCCAGGTTTGCCCTGTCAACCTTCTCCTGCCCCACAAGTTACCTGTGTAGCTGAGATGTGGATGCCTCCTCACAGCTGCAGCTGAGCACTCTACCTCCTTGTTCCACAAAGCCTCAAGTCCTGCTCCTCTAGGAGCAAATCCCCATGTACTCACACAGCCACTGACTTGTCTCCTTGCCTGGGCGATTACAGGTGCTGTGCATGTCCCAGGAAGAATTCCAGGAGTATAAGGAGCAGGATGGCTGGGAAGACGACACTGATGAGGAGGAGAACTCTCTTCTTTCTAATGAAGCTCTTTCCAGACTGAAAAGCCCTTGCAAGAAGCTCCTTTGCGACAGCGTGCTGCTGACTCTGGAGTCCTACAGCTCAGACTTGAAAGCAGATCAGGACTTGCTAAATAACAAGGAGGCTTTTGAGGGGCTGAGCCGCAGGGAGCAGCAAGCCTTGCACGTGCGCTATGGCCAGAAGAGGATCCTGCATCGGCTCCTGGAGCTCGTGCAGTAGGGACGGCCCCTGCGGGTCCCCTGCCTGGAGCTGAACCCAAAAAGGGCCTTTGGCCACTTCTTGTAGCCCAGCAAGAAACGAAGCAAGATGGCATTTGTGCCCGCTTGTCCCTCACTTGCACCTGGCTTATCTACCTCTGTATAAAGAAAATCCTTAAACAGTTATGGCAGAAGGAGTAGTTTGAAGGGAGAGGGGGGTTACACAGAGGTCTGGAGCACAACCCTCCACTGAAGGGTTTAATTAAAACTCAGGTCTCCTCATACTTGCTTGCAAAAGCCAGGCAGACGTTGGCATTATGACAAGCACATTCCCTCTTGGCATCAGTGATTTAAGGCAAGAGCTGTTCTTAGCGAGCTGGGCGGGCAGAGGTACAACTGGTAACTGTTATTTACCGAGCAGGCTGGGCACAGCGGGCTGTGCCCCAGCACCCCCGTCTGCTCTGCGTGTCCGTCAGCACAGCAAGAAGGTTCCTCTTGGCTCTGTGAAAGCCCATGGGAGCCGTCTCTGGTGCAGCCCGGGTCTCTCAGCCCCACACTGTCTGTATGTGCTACGATGGCTCTGACAGCTCTGCAGCTGCTGTAGGTTCAGCACGGGATATAGCCCCTGCAGTGGGTACAGTTCTTTCCTGACACGAGGCTTTGCTCTGCATCGTGTTTAGCTGTGCAAATATTTTACCTTCAGCAGTATCTATATGAAGGAACAGTGAAGGTTTACAGATGAGGCTATGTTTAATAAAATCAGAAATTCTCACGCAGCCGCTGTCCACTTCCACAGGGTACAAAGTCCTATCTAAAAACCAGAGCTTTCCCGGTACTGCTGCACAGGGGAAGTACTGGGATCAAGAAAAACCAAGGCTATTCACTTGTATAAAAGGTCAGCCACAGCCCTAGCCACAGTGCTGGAGAGCAGTGCTTTTAACATTACCTAGGCTCCATTCCCCTTCTCCCTTCTGCAGGCCGGGGCTGCTTAGAGCTCTTGGCTCTTCCCCAAAAGGCTGGGAGATTTCAAGCCCCTACCTGCCCCTGAGGCTGGAGGGAGGCACCTCCAGACAGAAGTGCCAGTGCAGAACCAGGGACAACTCGCAGCCTCAGCGCAGTCAGCATGAGGGCTCATTAAGACAGGACACACTACCTCAAGGTCAATAAGCTTTGCCTAGGGTTGGCTGGATTTAAGTATCAAGGAAACCTCAAAAATCTGGACTAGAAAGACCGATTGCTGCAGGGTCCCTGTAGCCTAATCCAAATGCAGGTGGAAGAGTAAAAGTTGCAGCACCCAAAGCTAAAAGTCCTTACTTGAAAGGCTCCACATGGGCAGTACTGCCACTGTACAGCCTGGCAGGAGAGCAGGGATTGATAAAACACTGCCTGGAAGCAGACAGAAAACTCCCCTTGAGGCACTGGCTGGGCGCTCTCCTAGGTCCCCTTTATGCTCTGCGTGGCGGAGGCAAAGCCAAACGTGGTCCCTTACAGGGAAGTTCCCTACCCACACAGTAGCAGTCAACTAGACCTAACAAACTAGAACTGTTTTTCTAAAAACAAAGCCGTGAGGATCCTTTTCCCTACTGCCTATTAACTGCACGGCACAGGCTAAAACAATTCAGAGCATCAGCGATGCTAAAGCCACCCAGCCTCATTACAGCTAACGAGCAAACATGCAAGGATTTGCACCGAAGAAAGTTTAACAGGGAGCAAGTCCCCAGAAACGGAGCTGCTCTGCTGTGGATTCTCCAGATCCCTCCATTCCAGGTACAGTGCAGGAAGAGGAATCTCTCTCTAACACAACATTCAGAGAAAAACTCTGCTTTTGAACTTCCAACGGTGCTTCCCTCCCCAAGAAGCTATAGCGAGTCTTTTCCTTCTGAATTTCAAACTAAACTTCTCTTTCTTCTCTCAGAGCTCATGCTGCAACACGAGCTCTGTTCCTCTTCCTAAGAGGCAGTGCCTAAAATACACTGGAAAACTGCAGATTTGGGGAGGGTGGAACAGACTTTGAAAAAAGCCAGCACCTGGCCAAGGAGGATGGAGCTGCCGAGAATAAGCACAGCGGCACGTGCTGCATGTCATGACTTTAATGTGTAACTACAGTATGCATACATACAAGAAGTGGGAGAACTAAAGCCCAAGAACTAGAAAGGCTACAAAATACAACACATGGACCAATACTTTACAAAACATTCAAAATCCTTACAAAATGGGCTGTATTGGTCCTTTGGTTTTTTTTTCTTTTTCTTTTTTTTTTTTATACAAACTTATACTGTGTGGCCATTAGGGGAAAAAAACCTAGTTTTAATCCCCCCTCCAAAATTTACAAGTGTCAGGAAAAAAAAAAAAAAAAAACAGGAAAAAAAAAAAGCTATAGGCCTGGTCTCTGGTTTCTTTACTCAAAGCAGCCGACCCTCTCCCGAAGGGCCTGAGGTGAATCTTCTCCAACAGGAGAGAGGCCTCTCCGACTGCTGCCCCCCTTGCCGTTGGTCAGCATTCCAGGTGGGGAGGACCTTAATCCCTTCCTCACCCCCTCCCTAATCCATAGTATTCCCATCTTCCAAACACATCCATCTTTTTTTTTTTTTTTTTGTAAAACAACTTAGTGATTTAAAGGTCCCCCATCCACTTAAAGAAAAAATAAGTTACATAATATTATAACTGGCTTTTCAATATTCTTTGGGAGTCTGGGAATGTCAGGACAAGGAGGTCTGCCCCAGACAAGTGCTTGGCATCAGCAGCTGCCCCTTTATTACAAGCTGGACAGGCACCAGTTACCCACCTGCCTTTACACAGTTTGCACAAACCCAAAAGTCCAGACAAACGTTTCTGTTCCTTGTATTTACACTAGTTCAAAATGATATTCACAGCATCTTCTGAATTTTGGCCAAAAGTCAAAAAAAAAATTTGTTTCAAACTTTGGAACGTGCCCGCACAGACTTTCACCCCAGGTCTGTTGCAGGTACCAATCGGGGGGCCGGGAAGGTCAGGAAGAGCCTTACGGATTCTTCTGCCAGTCGCTGGGCCGGGGAGCTCCAGGCTGGCCCGCTCGCAGCGCCACGCGCAGCTCCTCTAACTGGCACCGGTCCCTTCCATGACTTGCTGGGCCTGCTTCTGCCCCATGCAGCACTGCGCGACCGACTGGAACAGCCTGGACACAGGAGCAAAGCGGCGTTAGGGGGGCTGGCTGCACACCCATGGGGACACCCAAAGACGCGTGAATTGGCAAGTCCTGTGCGGGTGAAGGGGCCACACTGGGCTCGGGGGTGGGAAACTTCACCGCAGAAGTACAATGGCTTTAGCTCAGTCCCTGCAAGGAAGCCGCGGAGATGCCTAAAAACTTCCCCATGGAACAAAAGCTCTCCCCCTGTTTTAGGAGATTTGCTGGGACAGACAGGTCACTTCCCAAAGAAGGGATGTGACCCATGAGGTGCTACTGCAGCAGCAGCAGCATGAGCCCACCCGGCTGCGCAGTCAGTGCTCCGAGGCAGCAGCTCTGCCTGGGATTGCCAAAGCCACCCTCTCCTGTGCAGGGGCAGGCACTAACTTCCAGAAAGCAGTACCAGAAAGCAAGTCATATGGGAGCAAAATACACATATAGCCAAATGGACAGAGCAAAAATAGTAGCCAGCTCCTGGACTTCAAGACATCACTCAGCATTTTGCCCCCAGGTTTACTACAGCAATTGGCACCGCCACTGTGAAGCTCTAAAGAGCCAAGGTGTGACTTGACCTCTGTTTCAGATGTACCATTTTAGTGTTTTAGTAGTTAAATTATACTCACTTTTCAATCTCTGGAGCACAGTGAACAAATTCATGGTTCCAGAACTTAAACGCTGGATTTTTTATCAGCTCAATGAAAGTAATAAGGAGACCCCAGGGATGAGGCCTATTTACAATCAGTCGTTCCAAGAGAACCCTGAAGTTCAAAAGCAAAAACAGTTAGAGCTCAAGGCCAAATTGCATAGGGAAGAAAGAGAGAAGCTGAACGCACTCAAGTTAGATGCCTTTCCCCTCTCACCTAGTGATCTGCTCCTGGATAGCCTCCGTGTTGGCCTCAGCAAACAGGTAGAGCATGGTGCAGCTGAAGTAGTGCGTGTGACTGTTGGGATAGCGCAGCTGATTGGCAATTGCGTTCAAGAAAAGGTACCGACCTGCACAAGAGGAATGGTACAGGTCATGGGGTTGCCCTTAACACACAAAACAGAAATCAAGAAACGAGTAGCGCTGCTTAAGGTTGTGTTCTGCACAGCTGCACAAAACCTAAGTGGCAACAACAAGATATGAAAAAGCATCTAGCAAAGTTGATGGGGCAGTAAGATTTGGATTTCTCTTCATTAAACTCATGCCTCATTCCTCTCCATATCTTGAACATTTGGTTTTACTTCATTAAACTCATGCCTCATTCCTCTGCATATCTTGAACATTTGGTTTTTGTCCTGTATTCACAGTTTAATATTCTAATATAGCACTACTTGATGTGGATTCACTAATAAAACATCTTCTGTATTCTCACAGCTCAAACAATCTGCTATTAAACAAGTGATTTAAATACGTCATGTCCTAGAAGTGCTTCCACATGTTGTAGAAGTGCGTCCAGCTCACCTTCAGTGTCCAGATCTACCGCCAAATTCTGGAAGATATCCATGTGAGCCGAGTGGGTGATGGTGCTCATGGAGGGCGTGCTGCCCTTGTTGTGGATGTGCGCAATAGCTTGAGTACCGACGTAGAGCACCAGCGCGTTGATCAGCTGGATGTTGTAGCGGTTGCCAGGTTCATTTGACACCTAATGGCAAGGACAAAAGCAGCTTTAATCGTTCACGTTCATTCTGCAGCATGTGCAGAACGCTGCCTTCAGGTATCTTCTTGACTGTGCAGAAGGCAATGCATTTAGCCCTTAAGTTCAATCTGGCATTTGCCATTTTGAAACACTGTGGGTATATACCCAAAGGGGCCAGAAAAGCCCTGAAAGACCTGACAGCTTCTGTTTTCAGTAAGGAGGACAAAAGAAGGGTTTGTT